AGATGTTAGACCTTGGTCCTTGAGTTCCACTAAGAAAAAAATTCAGAGCCAAAAAACTCATACAAGCAAAACTTTATTTATAAAGTCACAGGGTAGAAGAAGTGAGTCATGGAAGAAGTGAGGCAGCTAAGCTGCATGGACTCAGGAAGCAAGTTACTGGGGCAAAACAAGGGCCCTTGGTGCTTAGGAGAAAGAAAGCAAAGATAATGCACCTGAGGGAAAGAAATGTGTGGGGCTGCTAGAGAGACAGAGACAGTGCTCCTGAGAAAAAAAGGGGGGTGGGAAAAGGAATGGGCCTGCTCCAGAGAGAGTGCTAGGTCTTTAATCTTGAGGGTTTTTATCTGTTTTCTAAAGGCAGGATTTTAGGGGAGGTCTCAGAGGAGAATATCAATAGAATATTCATCAGCTTTCCAGGTGTGTCCTTTCAGGGACGTGGTCTCTTTTGATTGGTTGGTGGGTAGGGGGTCATCAGTCATTGCTTCTGGTCCATGTCGTTGCTTCATTTGGTTTTGCAGGTTTTCTGGGTCTGGAGCTGAAATACAACTGAGGCCTAGATGTTATCTCTAGTTTGACCAAAAACTCTGTCTCTGTGGTCAACAGATCGGAGGTTTTGTTCATAAGATTATTTGATACAGGTCAGAACCTCATTGTCCTGGGGGCTTAATGCTTAAGGGAGGAGTGGTCATGCAAGGGCTTGTATAGGAGTTGTATGATGCTATTCTCTGGCCTCCTTGTTCCTCCTCTAAGGGGGTCTACCACCTGTCTAGCAGTATGCCAAGGGATGAAAGGTCAGGGGAGAATCTGAACTGCATGACTAGCGATATGCTAGGGGAGGAAAGGTCACCTTGGGGTGAAGTTCCATGCTTAATACTTGTTTTCCCAGTTTTGCCCATTGCTAGGCAACCAGGGCTTTCTGCCCTGTTAACCTTCTGTACCTGGCCTGTACTTCCTACTCTGCTCACGTCTGTCTAACTGCCTACTATATCAGGTACACTTAAAGCTGCAGGGGTAAGGAAGAGCTGGGACACTAAGATATGTTTATCTGTGTACTGAGAATGTGGAATTATTGAAGCTTGTTTGGTTTAAAGGATCTTCTGAAAATTAACATTACTCTTCATTGGATATGATTATTTGTCTTCAAGCAGATACCCACAGTAGTATCTCCATTTTAAGGTTAATTTGCCTGGGTTAGTCTTCTGGTGATGGAGTAGGCATTTAGACAGGCATGAGCACAGCAAGAATGAAAGCCAAGGTATAGAATGTCACCAGGGTGGAGATTCCCAGGTGCCTAGGAAGGAGCAAAACTAGAGAAAACAAGTATTATAGGCTAGGACCTTACCCCCAGGATGACCTTTCCTTCCCTAGCATATCGATAGTCATGCAGTTTAGACCCCCTGACCTTTTATATCATTGATCATGCCATTTAGCCTCCCTTAGAGGAGAAACAGGGAGGTCAGAGATTAGCACCATATGACAACCATAGAAGCCCCTTGCATGACCACTCCCTTAAGCATTAATCCCCCAGAACAGTGAGGTTCTGATCTGTATCAAATAATCTTATGAACAAAACCTCCAGTCTGTTGACCGTAGAGACAGAGTTTTGGTCAAACTAGAGATAGCACCTAGGCCTCAGTTGTGTTTCAGCTCCAGACCCAGAAAACCTGCAAAACCAAATAAAGCAACATCAGGACCAGATGCAATGAATAATGATCCCCTACTCTAGCTCCAACCAATCAAAAAAGACCACAACCCTAAAAAGACACACTTGGAAAGCTGATGAATATTCTATTGAGATCCTCCTCTGAGACCTCTCCTAAATTTCCACCTTTAGAAAACAAATAAAAGCCCTTAAGATGAAGAATCCTACTCATGCTCTCCCTTTCTCGAGCACGCCCATGCCTTTCCCCACACTCTTCTTTCCCTTTCTTTCTCCCAAGCTCCAAAGGCCCTTCTTTTGCCTCTGTAACTTGTTTCCTAAGTCACACAGCCCAGTTGGCTCACTTCTTCTACCTCTGTGGCTTTCTAAGTAAACTTTTGCTTGTATTTGAGTTTTTGGCTCTGAATTCTTTCTTAGCTGAGCTCAAGGACTGGGGTGTAATTGTGCCATTAACATCAGGAAGGACTAGTACTCCTTTATTTGTGGGGTAGCAATAGCCTCTCCATAGAACAGAGACCTCTGATTTGTCTCCTGATGATTGTTTCTCTTCTTGATTGTGCCTGACCCCTCCAGGACAGGACTCCATCTTTCCTTTCTCAGTCTCTACCCATTCAGACCACTTTACTTCCCCACTGGCTTCCTGGCTGTGCAATTCTGAACATGGACCAACTGCTGTCAATTATTACTTTATTCCATAGATGGAGGCCCCAGTGGTCTCATGGCCCATGTGGAAGATAATATGAGTGGAGCCATATTAAAATAGAGCCTAAGTAGCCATCTCAGAAGAACTGCCCTTATTTTTCTTTATCTTATAAGCTAGACCAAACCACCATGATTCCAAGAAGGCAGAGACTATGCTGTTTGTAAGGACTGATGAAATTGGCCTTTGCCAATGACCGAGTTGCTAACCAATAAATTAAATACAATTCTAGGTGAATCTCAAGCCGATCTATGAAGTACAAATCCAACCCTACCTCATCTAGCACGAAATAAACTCTTCTTTAATACAATTTACCTCATCTTCCTCTCTCTTTCCTATAAAACCCCAAACCCCCATAAAGGAGAAACACTATTTGGGTTTCTGCTTGAATTTGTTCTCCAGAATTGCAGTTCTTTTGGATCTTAAATGCTTAATGCTTCTCATTTTTGCTTTTTATTTTTAGATTAACACCCAGGAGGTGCAAGGAGCCAGGAGCCAGAGCTGGTGATATGCAGATACAAATGCATCAAAACACCAAGTAAACATTCTTAGAAGCTCCACTAAAGTGTTAGCACTAGCAGAAGGAAACATGAGGAGCTTCAAGCTTGGGAAGAAGGGTGAGATAAAGTTAAGAAAAATTCTGACTACAGGAAACAAATCTAGAAACCTAAAGTTCCCCCCCCCCACACACACACACATCCTCACTGCTGGTAAGGAGTAAGATCCTCATTACCCCAGAAATGTAGGGATTTCTGGCCCCTCTTACCTGCAGACCTTCCTCTTCATACAGAAGCCCCCAGGGCTAAGAATTCACTTTACAGAAGAAAAATAGCCACTTCCAACATTTATAAATATAGTATATAAAGACAATGACAGAATTGGTCAAACTGGTTGGAAGTAGGGAATCTCTCTCCCTATGACCTTGTCTAGAGTCAGATGCAGTGTAAACAGGGGAACAAATAAAATTACTAAGTGATGATAGAAGCTGAGCCTAGTCTTTTCAACAGCTGTAAGGAAAGTTTGCCAAGAACTGAACAGGCTCACAGGCCAAGAACTCAGGGAGAGCCGCCTTCTGTGAGAGCCACCAGTGAGCTCAGGAAGAGAGAACCACAACTCCACAGAATGTAATGAAGCAGGGAGACTTGGGGATTTTTTTCCATGAGTAGACTCTAATGGCAGAAAGGATGACTGAGAAGCCAGGAGACCTGTGGTCTACTACCAGCTGTGCCACTAACTAGCAGCAGCCATGAGGAAGCCACTTAACCTTTCTGAGATTCAGGTTGCACCTCTGTAGAAAGCGGGGTTACAATAGGTCAGGGGTGGCAAATGGGTGGCATGTACATCCTTACTTCTTTCATGCCTTCCGCAGAGGCTACTGTTCAACTACTCACTGTTTAGAAGTCCTTCTACAGCAGTCTAAGCAGGCACTTCCAATTAAAGTTTGTACAAGTTGAAATCTACTTCTTTTCCTTCTAAAGTCCCTACTAGCTCCTAAATGCAAAGTTCCAATTTTCCAAGTAAGAGATGACCATTTTTCTGATTTAATAATAGCTCACTCAAAAAATAAAGAAAAGAAAATTTAGGGTCATAATTTCATACACTTCTGCTCCTCCCCACCCTGAGGCTGAGCAGGGTCTTCCTTCTGTGTCAGAGATGTTAGTGTTTGAACTTCTCTTTCTTTCAGTTCACCCAGCATGACAGTGTCCTCTGTAGCTCCCTTTTATCTAAAACGGCCCACACTTATTTGTACACACAGACCCAGAGAAAGGTGTTGGGATTGAAACCTACTTTCCTAAGCGGAGGTCGAGGAAAGACCAATGAAAGAGGTTGGTCACCCCAGTCTGGTAATTAATAGAATTCACTAAGGAAAACTTACATAAAAGACACATCTTGGGTGGCTACAAGGTAGAATGGGACCCCAAGGCACCTGACAGGTGCCAAAGAATTATATAGGGTAAAAGGAGTGGAGAGATAATCAGGGAAAGTACTACATGAATGCCACCAGGTACAGAAATTACTTTACATGCTTGAGCAGGCCAGGACAATGACTGTTCCAGGAAGTCGCAAGTCACAGGAGACAGGGGAGGGGTCCTGATTTATGTCAGAATGAACATCAATTATGATCAGACAATCTCTTAGGGGGTTTATGGGAAGCAATCTCTGTTCTGGCTGGGGTCCAGCTCACGGGACAGGGATCACACCATGGAATAGTCTTTCCTCCACAACACTTAAAAATTTATGTTTGGCATCAAGGAATCTTCCTGAAAAGGAATTATCTCTAAAAGCCAAGAGTCAGAAGAGACGGCATTTAATGATTCTATTCGCTGCTCACCAAAGTTAACCAGATTTACAGCTCTCACCCTCTGGTGGGACAGCAATCGTATTAACATAACCTGAATGGAGACAGCTTCAGGAATCCAGGTGGTTGCAACTGAGTTTTATTGAAAGAAGCAGTAAAGTGGTTAACATGGGCCCACCTCACAACCCACTCCTCACCCCTCAGACCATGCAGGGGCAAGTCTCAGGCCAGGGAAGCATGTTTGGGTTGGATAGGAGCCCTCGCTTGAGTTATTTCCCTTAGTGCTAGGATGGAAGGGGAGAGGCAGATGGCGTGATGAGGTGGGGCAGCTCACTGCTCTGGTCTCAGGTGGAGGCCTCTACTGAAGCGTCAAAGTGGACCGGCACGTAGGGGTTTCCCTCACAGGCCACGATGATGTGCCTCTCTTTCTGGCTGGTCCGGTATGCACAATTGGGGTACTTGGAGCCATTCGTCAGGCGACAGTCCGTGATCCTCATGCTGGAACTGCTCTTGTGGCAGTTGGGCTGTCCATTCTTGCAGGTAATGTTTTGCTGGAAGCAAACTGCCTGGACATCTACTAGAGGCTCGTGCACAAAGGTGTTCACCGGCTTGCACCGTCCTTCTGTCATATTCCGGCGCCTCATCATTTGGTTGCAGTAGTTGGAGTTGTTGCTGGGGTGGTTGTCTGGATCCATGTGCTGCCGCTGGAACTTCATGGCCCGCGATTCCTTGCCCAGGGAAGGCTGGACCCACCCCAGCACCAACATTACCAGGACTAGCATCTGGAACAGGATGAGGGACTTCTCCTGAGCCATGGTGGCCTCAGTCCCCTGGAGGAGCCTAGCCAGCAAAGGGGGAGAGGAGGGAAGGCATCACTTTAGAAAGAGAACCCCAGCTCCCACCTGTGCCCTCCCTGTCTTACAGTCTCCCTTCAGGTCAGCCAGAAAGACATCCCTGTACCTGCAAGATTTTCCAAGTGATGAGACACTCACATGCACTCTTCCCCAAAAGCATTTGATCCCTACTAGTCAGAGGGGCAGTCCTCCCTCTAGGTGGTGACCTCCAAAATTACCTAAAATCCCTGGTGGTCCTGCTTTTGCATACTGGAAGTGGTTTTTGTATTTTGTTTTGTTTTGTTTTGTTTTGAATCTAAAATACATTTGTACTCACTGTTCTAGTGGCTCAATAGAAGATCATTTTGACTAAACCATGAGCCAAGTTGTATCCCTGTTACTACCATGACATCCAGGATCATGGCGGACAGAGCCCTGTTGTCTTACCACACAAGGGAAACTCAACCCAGTGCCTGGCACTGGCATCATAAAGGGATGCCATTGTATCCCAAAGAGAGATGCTTGCATCCCCGGATCTGGGCCTGCTCATTCTCCAGCCCTACCGGTTCTCTCCAGCCCAAATGCTCCCTCCCCTTGTCAACTCTGCCCCCGGCTACATTTGCCTAGCCCAAGCTTTCCTGGTGTTAGTCTCTCCCGCCCTGCCTCCCTCTTCTCCAAACCTCAAGCAGAAGCAGCTCCTGAAACCACTTCTTGGGCCGCTTACCTGGGTCTCTAGCTTGGATTCCAGGTGAGAGCAAGTGGAAGGCCAGTTCCAGCAGTCACTGGATCCCTGGGGTGTGGAGTTTATGTAGATTACAAAGGGGCTTGGCTTCCGAGATGAGAAGGGTGGGAGGAGCATCTTGGTTTCAGTCCAGAGGAAAATGAGGGCATTGTGAGGAAGGAGTGCAGAATTGCCCAGGCTGCCTTCTTTTCAGGGTTGCTGGGGAGAGAGTCTTTGCCTACAGGAGCCTTTCTTGCCATGTGAATCTCATGCCTACTGGTTCACAGGACCAGCAGAGAAAGCCACTATGGCACTGATGCTCAATCCCCAACAAAGTCTTTGTTATCTCCGTGGGGGGCATTTCAACAAATAGCCCTTGGAAGTTAGCAAAAGGCACATAATATGTAATCAAGGGAGAGGGAGGGAAAGGGAGGTCCTCTCTCTCCCCAGGAATCCTGGAGTGGCTCTGAAGGGAATTCTTTATCTCCTAACAGTAGTTCCCCTGGGGGGAGTGGGGAGAGGTCTCCAGCTGTTTCTAGCTAGAAGGCTCCCCAGATCTGGAGGAGCAGAGAATGCCAGAACAGTTTGGGTGAAAAGGAAGCTCTGCATGACCTCACCTAGTTCTTGTCACTTCAATACTCCTAAGGTGTGTGAGTTTTTATCTACAGTGGCCATTCATCCTATAGGTAGGAGTTGAGTAGAAAAAATAAAGATAAATCAAAACCCAATATCCCTTTTGGAGAAAAAAAACAGAGAACATCAAGTTTCTTAGCAACAGAATTCCCTCCTAGAAAGAGATCCCTTTTTGCTGGCTGACAATTTTGATACCACATGAGTGAGAAATATCAAAATTCCCTTCGTGCTCTAGATTTATTATGTTTTTCTAGTAAAATTATTTTAATTATAATATCAATCTCCAACAGCTTGAAATAAAAATGTCCATGGTTTTACATTGAACTGTATCTCACTTTCTTTTAGAATGTCCTGTTTTTCATTAAAATAATTTTTAAACCATCAATGTGTTCCACTTTCTGTTTAACACTCAGATGTGGGTTTCTGGAGAGGCCACAGGTCACCAGCTTCATGAAGTGGTGAACTGGCCTTTGTTTTGGAAAATCCTGCAGGCATTTATCCAGAAATATACGATCATAAAATTCTGAACCATCACCAGAACCTGTTTCATTGTTAATTGGGAAATCCCACAGTCTCCCCTCTTCTGTCCACTGGATCATCTCTTCAAAACCATTCTGAAAGGGCTGTTCATTTACTGCAGCTCACTGCTTAGAAATTCCACATCCCAAAGTGAAGGTGCTGTTTCTGTTTCAGGTGCCTCTTCAGTAACTGCCCTAACATCAAAAACATTAAGTTTCTTCCCCTTGAATGTACTTTTCCTAAAATCGCTGACAGACTCACTGGCTCTGAACTCCAGCCTTGAGGCAGCAGCCACAAGCACCAGGGACATGCGGGGAGGAGCTGGCTTCAGGATGAGGGCTGTCCATGCTCTGGATTTAGATGGTCTCCATCCAAATTCTAGTTTAGCACCTTAAGAGCTGGGCAAGTTACAGAACTTGATTTATTTCCCTGCTCCTCAGTTTCCTGATCTCTGAAATGGGGATAATGATATGTACTTTTTAGATTTGTTATTAGAATGAAATATGGTTAGATGTGCAAAGTGCTTCAAGTAGTACTTAGAAAGCATCCATAAATGGTAGGTCAGTGATTGTTCATAGGGAATGGTGTTGAGATTCCTCAAAAAGAAACTGTTTAAGTAACACTGGATGATCCCTGAATTGCTTTTAGGAGGGGAAAT